CTTCAGAGAGTATAAAACAGCTCCGACTTCGGCATACGGGACCACAACAGGTTATGTACCGGCTTGCTACGACACTGATGCGGAGATGCGGAGATGGGGCAAGACCAGAAGCTATGCTGATCGCATACTGCAACGTAGATGAACTCAACACGAATGTAACCCTTTCACCAGTCAAGCTCACCCTGAGTTGCGCACTATTTGTTTTGCCCGGGTAAACCTGATGGATGGCGTTCTGTAGACGTTGTCCGCAAGCGGTTAGACTGTTGAAGCTGCCTCGGCAATGTGGGAAGACGCGTCCGACTTCCTCAAGCGAGCCGAAACTCAACCACACCGCGACCACTTCTCCGCAGCGCTTCGCATCGCGCCATTGCATCTCAAGCTCTCATGTCGCGCTCTATCAACTTCTTAATGTCGCGTCACTCGCGGTTACTTCGTATAAAGCCTTCGCCATTGTTGACCACATGGTCTTCACAATCATGTCTACCGTACATCATGCCGTAGCGCGCTCCACTGTAGACTTCGTATGGATCGGTTTTGGTTCCCCTGATAGGAAGTGCCTCATAGCCGGGGACACATGAAGGTGGTAGGGGTGGCAATGGTTCGCAGTCAAGATCAAGGCGCTCATGAAGAAGATCATCGATTGATACGTATTAGCAGAAGCCCAAAACGCTTCTCGCGGAAGGATATCGTAAGGGCAAAGTCGTCTCGCTAGCGACAGTGGTCGTGATCAGACCGGCCTAAGAAGACACACCCGTCCTCTTCCAGCCGCGTCGAACGAATAAAAACGTCCCATTCGCTTGTTCCCTGCAGTCGCGTGTATGCATAACCCCTCCCAGGACTGCACTATCACTGGCCACCATGCTACCGTAACATAGGCGATGGTAGAGCTATTGACACTACACTGGTCTCAACTATATCGTCAGCCCAGAGCAAGCCCATAAGGTATCGAATGTACTTACGACCGCCCCGACCGCTTGTAGCTCGATTGTATCCACACGAACAAGCTCGAGCATGACTCAACAATCAATGAGCACTAACAATGCGACGATGAGCCAGTGGCGATGAAACGGCTCCGGAGCTTCTGCGAGCGTGTCTTGAGTCCGTTCTGGAAGACGGCGAGCGTGGTGAGAAAGCCGGACCACCGAAGCCTTAGCCACTTCCTGAGATTGCCTATGGCGGACGAGCTTTTGGATTCCGTAGCGTGGATAGTCTTTTCGTTCATGATAGCGATGTTGCGCCTTGGAGAATTCGTTGTTTTGGAAGTGTTCGGTGACAGCGGAAGAAGTGGATAAGAAATTGGCCGACCTCCTTTGAACGCTGAGCGATAACACGTTGATGGCCGGTCTGGTAGGGATGGAGATTGAATGTGCGGTGAGGATCGTGCGTATGTGTGATATGGAGTGAGCGTTGGACGAGCAAGGCAAACGAGCGCAGATTAGAAAGCTTTACCGTTGCCTTTTACTAAAGCGGGCTCTTGCCGGTTGTGTCAGATAGGTCAGCTGTTCGACTGGCTCGTTTATGTGTGCACTTGATCGTCCTGATTCCAGAAAATTGGCACAGTGAAAGATGCATGTCATGTGTGAGGGAAAAAGTACATGGTGCATCGCCAAGGAGCCCCTCGCTCGTGAGGTGTGGTGAAATGGTGTTACAGGAACACAACGACGAGATGGAATTCGCGATTCGACAGTGTCGCCCGATAAAATCTTAGAATATCTGTATTATGAGTTGATGCGACGTTGCGAGATGTGAGTGGGAATGTCGGTCATGACGCGTCGCTTGTCGTTGCGGCCAGCCCTGTGCGACGTCACAACCCACATGATAATGGGGCACCTTCTACGAGACCTTCAAGCCTTGGTGAGATCTCGACCTTAGATGCGCGTGTCAAACCTCAATGCTTCGGACATCTCGCCGCAGAAATCTTACGACTAACAAGCCCTCTGTTGTTACACCAAAACCTCAAATCTCGTATGCTGTTGGCAGAAGTTGCTGATGACGCTCTTTTCCCGCCTATAGATGTCAAGCTCCTGGCATTTGCCCGCGATCGTGTGCAAAAGATCTTATCGAAGTGCGATTACTTTCGTTTAGGAGGATCGCTGGCTGTCTATTACGCTGAGGGCGACATCACTAGCGAGTGTCGAAAGTCCAACACTTACTAGCCACTTGCGGCATTGACCGCGCTTTCGGCTATGTACTAAGAGATTACACCTCTGCGCTTCCAAACGAATTTTGAGTACAGTTTATTGAGATTATAATTAGATGATCAATCTATATCTCGGCAAGATATTGTAATAATGGTACAAAACGTGTTGCATGCGCTTCTGGCTCTTTTCTATCGAAGTAGGAGGGCTCTTCTAATATTTCGCACATCTGACGTCCTTCTATGTTTATCTGGGCAATTGTTGTTATGGTAATTATTTCTAGTAGACCTTGGGAGCAAGGGAACGATCTTGGGTTGTCTAACTTGGTCGGCGCAAATAGGACATGAAGGCTGGACCTTAACACGCCTCTATTTTGTGGCGATGGAGTGTTTCTCTACATCGCTCTACCGTCTGCAGCATGATGAGCTATATCCAGGCAATGCTAGGAAGTAAATGCAGCCTGCTGAAGCTGTTTTGAGACCTAGCGAAGCGTATTCGACTTCGCGGAAGTGTCGCACTTTCCACGCGTTAAGCCCGCTTCTCTAGAATCCTCTACTACGTTTAGGGTCGGGCGCCTGAAGCAACTAAGATAGCAGCGAAGGAGCAGAGGAGTAGAGTGGGCATACTCAGCTGGAGAAAGTCCCACGTATAGTCTAGCACGAGGGCGCGAGGACAGCGATCAAGCTTGATCGATCGCGGCAGGCTAGATAGGTCCAGTCGCGAAGACACTCGATGATGAGTAATGTGATCTAGAGGCTGAGTGCTGCAAGCGCGCGGTATTGCAATGACGGAGGTATATCGGCTTGAATCTTTGCCGAGATGATCCATGCGAGAGCCTAGAACTTCGCGTAGTGCTCACGGGAAAGTATCTTACGCGCGATATCTACTTTCCCGTCATGTACAACGAGACGCGAACGGTACATGCGGCGCAGGGCGTACCCATGGCCGCAGTTCCAAGTTTCCAGACGCTCACGTCGACATTGCGTTCAGAATCCTCACGACTTGTGTTTTTTATTTGTATAGACGGCAGCGCATCTGCTCAACCTCTTGCTGGAATGATACGATAGAGGTGTGTATGACGTGAAAACTCTTCCCCCCTCAGGTACCGAGCAAGCTGGGTACTCCAATGGGGTACTGACCGAGGTCCATACGTCGATGAATTGACGAGCAGTAGTAGCTCCGAGCCCGCGCACATGAGCGAAAAAGAGTGCGTGAGGCTGTAGTCCACCCCAAACGAAAAGGGGACGGACCGTACTCGCTCCATTGTGTGTTGTTGCGATGTGCATGGCTCCAACCCTTTCCACTGTTCGGATAGCTGATTTACAGCGTCTATTGTCAACATCGAGAGACGCTCAATGAGCTTTGAGTGAGGCGCGCTTGTGACATTGTGTATGCATCGTCGGGCCGCCGTTGCTTGGAGCTGTCGCATCATCCCCTCGCTGCGGGGTCCACCAGATGGTGCTCTGGTTGCAGTGACACGCAAGTGATCCGCTCGCGTCTTCTCCCGCGCGTATAGGGGTTGTATCGATTGTTGGAGGCGATCGGAGGCGATCGAGGGTGGCTGATGATAGGTTGTATGGCGTTGAGGAGGCTCTGTGGCGTGACTGGAGCACAACAGCGTGGTTTCCTCCGGTACGAGTTGGTCTCGTTCATGTCTGTAATCGCGTAAGCCAGTAGCTGCCCTTGATCAAATGTGCGCGCCATCGGCGACATGCCGCCCTTCCCTGGAGACGGACATGCCAAGTGGGCATATGGTGACCTCGGCCGCGCAGCCACGGCAGAGTGCGATGTGGACTTGCCGATTCAGTGGGCGTGGATGGGTTGGCCAGCCGATGACGTGATGCGCGATGCCGCTGTTGAGATTCCAGGATGTCGACTGCTGGTGGCAATGGTAGAGGGCAATGCGGTGCAGAGACACCTGGGCAGCTTGGCACGGCGCACAGACCCCCTCGGCCATCGTCGTCATCGCCAATCGCCTCGCCCTCCCCATCTCAATCACCACAGAAGATTCTCTCCACCGGCGCGCCAAACCCATCTGTTCCTGCAAATGTGTTGGAGTGCGACAGATCTTTCATCTCATATAACCAAGAGCTGACCCTTCGCCACCCTTAGGTGCAGTGCTGTCCTCTTCTTCACAATGGCCATGAACCATCCAGTTATCTGGTCTCGATCCGGGCATCATTCGATACGCCTCACACGATGAATGTTCCTTCCATCACAAGGACAGCTATTGCTGCGCCGCGCTTGCGGATAGAGCAGTGCTTTCACCCCGCTACCTGTCGCTTTTCACTTCCCATGTTACACGACTGATGGCAGGCTGCATGTTTCAGTCTCAACCACGCAATGGCATCTTCGCACCGGCGCGTTCATCAAGCAAGCAAATCCGTCATCTCCTCGATCGTTTCTTTCTACCCGTGAGCCCGCGATTCGCACGGCCTTTTTTTCTCTCATATACTGTGTCGCTTTCTCCACACTCTTGAACTACTATCCAACAGCGTTTGTCTGGCTTCCAGACGATTCACGCCCTTCTGGTGAGCCTACGAGAGCTTCCAAGTCATGTCTGGTGCTGTAAACGCATCCGTCAGACACATTAAGCATTGCCTGTTACGATGCGACCAGTCAATGAGATGTACTAACAACCATCAATGTAGCAGTGCCAGCGCCGACCGCTTCCGCCATCGACATCGATGCGTATCAGCGCGCAAGCATCGACAAGCCGCAGCCGACCACCGACAATCGAGTATCGTCTCCTCTCCCGCACGCTTGGTGCCTCTGCAAACCCCTCGCCTCTCTACCTCCACCGTTTCCATCCCTTGGACTACCGCTACATATCGATAGTACTGCATCTCCACCTTCAGAAACATGCGTGCGTATCCGCGATTGTCACTGGAACCTCCGGCAGATACGGTGTCGATACCCGAAGTCACGGCGCATCCGATCGATTCTCAGACATCTAGCTTTCTCAACCTCTCGGGTGAGGCACGTAACATAGTCTACGAGCTGCTCTTCGAATTTGAGCAGCCGATAGCACTCTCTAACCCGCCATCTGTGCATGCATCTCAGAATTCTGTACCTCCGGTAGCGCTACTTTCGACATGCCGGCAAATATATCATGAAGCTGTCGGCATCTTGTACACCCGCAACCGTTTCCTTGCCGCGACCGCATCGGGTTCCACATGGTTATCTGCCCTGAACCACACAACTAGTTGGCTTTTGGGACTGGGATCACAAGCAAGGCATCTTCGCCACCTCACCGTACACGTCGTTCACCGCAGTCGCGACCTGAACGAGCTGCAATCGTTTCATCCGGATACCACATCAAACGCACGGCTTTTCGAGGTCCTACCCCTACTGCGTGCGCTCTGGGAACTTCGCTTGGACCGGTGTCACATCAAATACGCTCTTGCCCACCAGGATTATGCCAATGATCTCGATGTAGACCGGTCAGACGCGCTGTATGCAGCAGACGCCGCCTTTGCTGCTATTGCCTATGGACCAGTCGCTCTGACTACACCACGAAAGCTGCTCGCTAGCGTCCAAATTTCTTCATCCGGCACTTGCCTTCTTCGATTCAAGAGCTCAACAGAAGGGCTCGTGAGCTCCATCGAGTGTCTTACGCCAACAGGTGCATGTGCCATGTCCACCGCATGCCTCCCTGCGGAGCTTCATCCTCACCCTCATCTCGTCAGACACCCAGCAAAGAAGAGCCAGGCGAGATTGGCGGGTCTTCCCTTCAGCGTACAAGGTCGCATCGTCTCGGCGTACATGGCGGCTGCGAAAGAGCCGTCTTCGGCAATTGAAGTAGACCTTGGTATGCGCCGGATACGTGGCCTCGAGCACCTACACGCCTTGCTCGCTCTGAACCGCTCCTTTCGGCTGAAAGCGCTATCCTCCATCACAATGCTGGCCGAGCCAGTAACGGTGCGCATTCCGATGAATACCACCTCTAAGGATAAGTCGGGTTTCTGGGACCTCCTTCGCTATGTACGCGAAGATGCCGGAGGTCCAGATCGCTTCGATTGTTTGCACTGGGCATTGTTACGTAACAGGCATCTGAGCATTTCTGTTACCTTTCAGCTCACCCCCACGACGACCCTGCGCAACGTCGAAATGGATGTGCATGGCTTACTTCAGATCGAGATGCGTCGCGAGTGGTCGTGGCCTGTGGACTTTCCTCGACCGGATATCCCCATCCGTGTGCAACTTGTGCATGTACCTGGCAAACACTCCGGCCTCCAGACAGTTCACACACGTCAATTTCTCCTTGGCCAGTTGAATCAGAAAATGCTGTTGCTTCTGCGCGACGCCATCCAGACATCGACAATTCATTACCGCCACTGGATCAAAGTCAGCACCGATGGCCACGGATCAACTCCGCCAGTCAATCCCGCAATGTCGGAATACTGCAAGAAGTTTGGAGTAACGGCGCCCGACTGGCTTCTCACGAGAGGCGTTCTGATCTTCTGGATGGACGGATTCGGCGAGCCTTTGCGTGCAGACTTTGCTACCTCTGCTGGTGATGTTGGGTTCTCGGTGCCCTACTCGCATCCTGGACTAGCCAATAAGGCGCTGCGCAACCAGGTAGACCGCCACTTGGACGAGGAGTGGAGTCACTTTGCCAGAGATTATCAAGAGGGCGTGCACGCAGGTCTCTACAAGTTGTATCACGCACAGGTTGAATGGGTACGTCTTCACTGTCCTCGAATTGGCCGTGATCAACGTCACCAGTAGCTACACCCTATTGCAGTCGGCTTGAACGGGTCTCATTCGTATTACCTTTCCTTCTCTTTCGTCTTCTTTTCCCATCTCTACCTTCTTCTTGACTTTCTTTCCAGTTGGAGGTTGGATTAGCTCAAAAGCCGCAACCGATCAGACTGCATGTATCAACTGGTATGTGTACGCATAGTTTACTTATCATAGACCGATGACACGGCGACGACCATCAGACTGCCACCATCATGGCCCGCGCGAGATTTGGAGTCAATTTGAATGCGCAGCGCGAGATGAAACCCGACCTCAGCCTGGGTCGAAAACCATGTTCTGCCTGCCCCAGCTCTGGTACTTTGTGAACGTATTTGGTCAAAAGTTCTTTGTTTTCATGACAACAGCCATGTCTTTGGCTGACATCGGGACTTCGCTTGCGCGCATGGGGGTCAAGTGTGAACACACACGCTAGTCATGACCGTCTCACAATCTAGCGTCACGACCAAGGCAATACCGTGCCGCGGACTTCCCTGGCCTTAATCTGGATATTTGACAAGTATAAGTATCTATATAGACGCACATAGGGACAGAGTTAGCGTAACTCCTCAAGATCCTGAAGGGCCAACTCTCGCCTGCGTTCACCAGCGATTCCATAGAGCAAGCATCAACATTGCCAGTCCACTCCATCGCTGACACAGGTACGAAAGATCTCATGGATCTGGCTGGCCATGACCCTTTCGCGCCCGCTACGAGCACCCGTTCCATGCAGACAATGGAGCCAACGAAACCTTCCACCAGTCCGCAAAACGACACTGAAGACTTCGATGACATCGCAGCAGCGATCAGTCTGATGATGATGCAGACTGCCGACTCGGCCAAAGACAAGTTCTCCTTGGACAACGATCACTCCGGTACCCTTGAAGCTCCCAAAATTCCCTCCATACGGGTGACAGAACCGAACAAGAATGACATATCGTTGGAGACAAAAGACTTTGGTAGTTTTATCGCAGCTACAACAACAAGGAGAGCGCTCCCAATTCGCATTCCTTCCATATTCACCAGTCATCGCGTTGCTGCTGGCTCTCCCACTCTCAGCTTTGCGCAACAATCCACTGTGGTTGATGAACAGCTGCCACTGGCCTGGCTCCAAGACATGTCCAACGGCCCTGAGTTCGGTGGCGGCGATGTGACCAATTGGGATGACCCCACACCGGAATGCTTTTTCGCACCGCCGCCTTTACTGGAGCGGACTCCAATGTTGCCAACGCAAGCGGCCATGAACTCAACTCACGACATATGTCTTCCATTGGACAACGCCATTTCCATAAGCCTGTGGCTCGACGATATCAGCACTGCGTTCACACCTGAGTCCTTGAGTTCTTCTCTACCATCACCGGAGGAGCGCGCAGCCCCATGTTCGAACCGAGAGTACGACTCGCCAGGGCTATCCCAATTATGCGAATTGCCTACGATTCCACCGAAGAAGCGCAAGCGCTCGTCATCCGTCTTATCAGATGTCCAGTGCGCACAACGCCCGTCCTGGAACCAACCTTGGCCCTCATCATCCATCTTACCGGACCATGACGTTCCAGTAAGTCACAGCACAGTCAGCTGGCATCTCCTTCTCCCATTATGGGTCATTGCTAACGCAGCTTGCAGCAGCTTGCCTATCCCGATATGGAAATCGATATGCATGCGATAGAGAGCCTATGGGAGGGCCCAACGTGCGTGGAGCAGGCCGACGACGACAACAACCCTGTGAACGAAGCCTTGTGAAACCATGCGACAGTTACGGTGCTGTACGTATCAGAAATCCAGCTTCAGCTTAGGAACGATGGCTGCTATACGCTAGTCAAGTGATTAGTTAAGAAGGGGAGCGGACTCCTTGCTGAACGGTCTCATATATTTTCTATAGAAATCAATATCGTCAGATCGTATCCGGAATGCTTGCAACAAATGACGCCAAATTATAGGTTTCGTACTAATCTACCTGCTCCACCTTCATTTGTGTGCCATATGCGAGACGGTCATCAGTAAAGCGCCGACAATCTGGGGAATGAAGAACTCGGCCGTATCCTCGAACTACGATACGATCTCACGGTGACAAATTGGCAGAAGTCCGGAGGTTCTAGCCGGCACTGAACCTAGAAGCTCTCATCAAAGCGTCGAGACCATCGGGGACGAACGCGGGCATTGCTGCGCTGCTCCACACCCAGCTAGACTAGATGCATCAACACCTTCTTCCTTTGCAGGAGCCTTTCATCGCAGCTATCGTGTTCATAGGCGGATTTCTGGCTGGCTGGCGCGATAGAACTACTGTCAAACCCGATAGATGCTCAAAGTAGTCAGGTAACGGGCTAGACCAGCATCGTCGTTCTTTGCAGGCTGTCTACGTCACCAACGATTGCAAAGAGCACGTGGCATGCATTATGCTATACCGTAGTCGTTACGTACTAGTATACCTAGATTATCTGCTCTTAATGTCTCGCATTGTCGTCGCAGCGACGCAAATTCTGAGTCGCTACAGCCACCTGTAAAGTCGTCCCCAATATCCCCTGGTTCTCACTGAACCGACCCTGGGTATGCGGGGTGTTTGTCAAAGTCACTCTCGATGGGTCGGGGAGATCTGATGTCTTTGTGCAGAGCGCACACGATCGCATAGAACCAGGATGCGCAACAGTAAAACCCCTTACACGCAGTTTTCAAAGTTGTCGGGCTCATATTCGGGTCAGGTTTCAGCGCGTGCCAACGCCACATCCGCCATCGTCAACAGAAAACCCAAACTCGTCACATGTTCCTCATTGATCAAAATACAGGCAGTCTGCCAGCCGTATTGATTGCTTCGATAGACAACTTCGTTGTTGCTACTGCTCAGGCTTGAGTGCGTGAATCTCGGTGATGTGTTGGACGCCATCATGTGGCGCAGCCATGACCGGGGTAGCAGCGCGCGACCCACTTAATTGCCGAAGTGAACCTGAGCACCCGTGCTTTTCCGGGCGCGCCTTAGCGGTCAGCCGCCAGCTGCTTCTCCAACGTCGTCTCACGATCTTCACCGAAGCTCACGCCGTATCCTTTCCAAGATGTCTTCAACACGCTCAACCTGTGATCAGTTCCCGGTCCCCAACAGCGATACTCCAACGATGCGACATACAGCTCCTCTGTCTCCTGATCTGACGAAGCACATACAACAACACACGCGAATTTGCGGCGAGGAGGCGAGGCTCACATCTATACGACTGGGCAGCACTAGTCCTTGAATACATCCATATCTCGGCTGCGTTGCCAATTATGTGCCTTGTTCAGGCTTACAATTGCTCTTCGCTGTCCATTGTAAGCTGCAGGGCTGTCTAGTTTCTGCCTTGAATCAGGTATCTAGATCTTCCACGGATGCACTAGCTTCCACATCGGGCGCCTTGACCACGATGAGAATGGGATGTGGCTCAAAGGGTACACTACGGAGACTTCGACATGCAGGTGGATCAAGATCTCAAAGAGCGCTTCTGGTTCAGCGCGAGAGGGTGAACCAGGCCCTAAAGCGCGCCATTAACCTTTGGTCTTTCATTCTGGGCATTTCAAAGTGACCTAGAAAGATACCAGAAAGGACCGATCATATTCCATATGCGACGCTGATCGTGACTACTTAAGCTTCTACTAATCATCTCGTCACCAAAACCTTTAGCAACATCATGGGCACCACCACTACCATCACAATGCAGGCGTCTGCGCAACATCATCCTGTAACCACCCCAGATTCCACTTCAACCACTATCAATTGCGCAATCTTAAATTCACAACGTTGTCTACGAACACCCCACAGAGCGAGAAGACACAAACCCAACTTCGTCATCTACGCCGACAACTCCACGACGAATTTTCGGAGACCGTTGCCGCGAAACAAGGGTGTACGCGTCCCGCTGCGCGAAAAGACCAACCTTGCGAATGCGGTGATGGTACCTGCGTGTCGCCGCGCCGACATTCCTTTCGCATTTAATGCTGTCGATCCCTTGTGGGAAGATAATGAGAACTACATGAGAGATTACAGAACGAGTCTTCCTACATCCTCGCTTCATCGCATATACGAAACGCTACCGGCGACCGTCTCGGATCGCTCCAGGTCATCACGACGGGTGAGGAGATTAGCGCCTTTGCATCCCCCAGCTTCCACCCGTCATCGCCGCACGACACGACGTCAGATATCTACGCTAGAGTCACCAGCCGTACCGATATCCATACCGATTCGAACTGCGATGCACGGCCAAGTCAATGCTTCATCGCTTGACTGCACAGCCCCGTTCACACAACCATACATTCTGCCGGTGCAACGCGTTCATCATCCCATCAGCCCCTCGAAGCCGGTATCCAATGGTACATCAACCACTCTTGGCTCATAAAGCTACGTCGTCATCAACACATGTTTCGATGTACGAGCTTGCTGGCGATCGCGCGTTCCGCCCGCTAATTGTCTCTTCGCCGATCGGATCTGTTCACGAAGCGCCGGCGACGTATACTCGGGGGTACAACTAGCTCGGCGCAAATCAAGCATAAGAGGACGAGTGTATAGCCGCGGTTCTAGTTCGTAAAGTCGCAATCGCAACGCGAAGGGGACAGGAAGAGTTGGGGGATCAGGGATGTAATAGATTTCTTATCGACGTAGGTCAATTGCGGGCATGTCTCTAATGCCTGCGTAAAGTTTCTTTGCGATGAGACCATTTATGATGATATTCGCGCTATAGCAAGGTCTTGTACTGGGAGTTGTGATGTAAATTGGCCAAATTCTCGTCATTTTGATACGTCGCCAACTTCATTACGTCTATACTATTCACTCGTATCGATGCTAATCTCCTCACAACAAAGACACTGGGTGCTTTGTATTTGTAAGAGCTAACTTCCCTGCCTGGAAAACTACTCAAATTCTCTCAAACTCTGCATGTTCACTGGCCATTCGCATCATGTCCACCCATTCCTCTTTCGTCTTGCCCTGAAACCAGCGTTCCTGTGGCAAAAACCTCATTCCGCCATCCATATTTCGTTGAATCTCATCATCCATCTCGTTTTGAAAAGCGGCATCATTGAGTCGCCAACCTGATGTAGCCGGCATATCGTCTTGGAACGGTAAGAATTTCTTGATGTGGTTGTACGCTGCGGGCGAGTCTGGCCCCCACTTTTCGTGCCCACTGTTACCAATATATAGTCGGTTGCACGATGACGGCAATTTTTCGGCGACATCGCTCCACTTATACCCCACGGTAGCGAGATAGATGTACTCAAAGCGGGCATATCGCAATCGCGGCTGTCGGGATAGAAAGGTGATGAGAGACGGTGTGTCCAGGACCAAACTTCGTAGCTTCAAAGTTGTGAAGGTCGGAAAGACTAGCGGTGTGATATCCGCTGATTCGGTGGCACTGACGCTACCAAGGAGCCTTGCGATGTAGTGCTCGCCCACATCCGGTAGTTGTGGATGTGATGTAGTCATGTTGCGGAACTCGAGTGTTTGTAACGTTTCCGATGAGCAGCGAATCAAGGCAGCGAGGGATTCAGCTTGGTTGCTGGATGAGTCAAGCATGAAGTCAACATTCTCGACGTTGAAAGAAAGTGCAGTGAGAGAGCTGAACATGTGTTCCAAGGCGGCACTTGTCGTGATTGAAGATGGATCAATCTTGGGGAGAACCAGACTCTGGATGCGACTGTTCGACGCTTGAACGGCGGAGCAAAGGAGTTCAAGGTGCTTCCAGGTTGTGCCGCATCCAGAGAACTGCTCGTCCACTTCATCGCTGACTGCGTTAGTTTGGTGTCATGCAAATCATGTGGCCATACTCACTCGCCGCCCTCTTCGAATCCATAATCACCCAAGTCACAATGCCACTCTTGGACTTCGATAGCTTTCAGGCACGGCATATGTGCGAAGAGCTTGACCATTGCTGCTAGAATCGCGTCTGCCCTTACGCGCTGCTCCTCCACCTTGGCGGCCCAGATCGCTTCCGCCTGCTCGATCAATTCGCGCTCTCTATCGGGTCTTGCTAGTCGTTCCGCGGCGAGACGACGAATTCCGGCATACTCACCTTCAGAATCAGTTTCAAAGTCTTCTTCATCATACATTCGATGGAAGTCCTCCTCGTAATCTTGCCCACGCTCTAGCCAATGGCGATACCTCGACCAGAACCCTGGGAGAACAGTCAGTATCCGTCTGGCTATGGATAAATATCCATCGGCTGAGCTTACCATCTACGTAGTATTTGGGACTAAACTTGAGCTTCCGAACATGCCGCGCAATGTCGTGCGCAATGAGCTCATCCACGGTACTTTCCAAAGAAACCAACTCCACCGTGCGTGAACGACCCGGGTACATGACACACTCGTTATTCTCCATCCTGCCAAATCTGCTCTGGGGAGAGCCATCCAGATGAATGGTGGCGAAGATCAGCGGCCTCACAATGGTCGCAAAAGCGCGACATGTTTGAGATACTGAGCGCAGGTGGTGCTGGGGCAAATGTGAGAAGATCTCGAGGTAAAGTTCATCGGGCAGTTCCATGGTGATATGTGGTACTAGAGACTAGGGAAAGACAAACGAGCGCTATATGTAGAAAAAGCGTGCGATCGGCAGCAGCGCGGGCGTGACTGCGCGATGGTTTCGCGATATTAGCCTGTTCGCGCAAGGCACCAAGCAGCAAGGCAGCAATCTCAAATTGGGACACTTAATTTGACGACGCAGGCCGATTTTCATGAGTGCGTGTGCAGAGACACAATTATTGGTGGGTGGTGCATTCAGTGTTGGTGATGAGGACATGGTGCCAGGCAACAGCAGCGCCTAAGACTCGGCGACAAGGTGCGGGGCGTTGGTGGCGCATCGCGATAGTACCTAGGTAGCGGCAATTCATGCAGCAAGTCGAACACGTGCCTGCTTCAAAATACTGTGACAACGATTCAAGACCTTGGTAGATAATCCAGAAGCTTGCAGTGCTCAATAGGATCGTGGAATGTTTTTCCATGGTCTTTCAAGCTACAGAGTAGAAGAAAATGTGCTCACACCTCTTCAACTTCCTCTTGTCACAGCCCAGCTGCCCTTGACGCTCGATCGCCCCCCCGCAATCGCAACAATCTGCATGTAGTGGAATGCGACAAGCCGCGGAACGATTGCGGCACTCCCTTCCCGATGAGTGCAGAAAGTCTGCTGTCGAGATGTTGTTCGCGCGCCCAACCCACACCCGCAACTGACCACAGCCCCTCGATGAAGCACAGGAGAGTCCATGTACACAAGAGTCAAGCAGAGCTGGCACTTGCACTGCGGTGGGAAGCGTGACCTTCGGAAAGAAATGGCCGGGCTTCGGGGGCATGATTCAACGCTTCTGATCCAAGTTGTACGCGACGTCCTCCCGACTCCAATCTGTCGTGATTGCTGAAGGCGTTTTGGCCATTTTGTTGTCGCCAGACCCATGTCCACGGCGCATGCCATCTTCCGTGGAAGCAATGTGATCGCGACATGCTCTCGCCGCGCCGTCCTGATTGTCTGCAGGTTGAAGGAACGTGTCGAACGTTAGGGTAGTACAGTGCGATCGTCTAGCGCGCGGATGTCTGTGTAGGCTTGAAAGGTGCTTCAGTCGCGGTAGCAGTTTGTCGCCTACACCATGTCAGCAATCTTGCAGCGTCGTTGACGCAAGACATGTACTTACGGGGTGGAGCATCTTCCTTCGCGTCCAGACTATCCGAGCTTTGCGCAGCGTGTTCGTCGTAAGCGGTCTTTTGCGAGCCGGCTTTTGCGCGCCCGGGTACCCACGGTGGAAGTGTTGGCGCTCAATGTACGAACGGGGCGGGCAGCGCTGTGTGGCCACTCACGCCAGTTTCGAGCTCGAGAGCGACGGGCGAAGTAAATCGTATTGTTGAAACCACCACAGTCATATTGGCGTGACGATGTCGTCACCCAGAGCAGGAGGTTGGGTGCCAAGGAGGCGTCCGAGGGCCGAGAAGCAAGAGTGCCGCCTGAGAGAAAGGAGGGAAAGGCCCTGTGTACGCCAAATTGTTGTCCAAGAAGGTGTACAGTATAGCAACGCCAATTCGATGTCGGTGTTCAAGAGACAAGTGTTGTTGATGTTGAACATGTTGCCGGGGCTAAAGTGTCGGATACTGCGACCTCGCAGTCAGGCGTTGGAGACCGCAAAGATTTCAGAGCCATCAATAAGGTATGGGGTATGGCGTCCAATCTGCACTGAAGCGTCGAAGGGAAGCGTGGGCCATGGTCATGGAGACAATATGCTGAGGTCGAGTGTCGAGCGACGCGACTCAATCTGTCCAATCGGAGCTCATGGAGATCTCTAGCGCGGCCCTAAATGACACCAGAACACCACCCTCCCGGGGTCGGCTCAAACATCAACGGCGCTACGTGAGTGACATGTCTGCATCTCTCCGGCAAAGGTCCATCAACGGCGCGCCTCATCTGAATTGCCTAGCAGCTAATGCATCGCTGCAAAGCCCTCGTGTTGGTCTTCGCTTCACGTTCCAGCCTCCCGAGGTCTCTTAGCCGGCCTTGCGGACTTGACGCCAGCAGTAAGGGGCACTGGCCCCATTTTGTCGACGGTACCTAGGTATTGATCCGCACGGAGACATATCACAGACAAGCCACCTGCTGCGACATGGTGAGTATGCAACGGAATAACATCAGAAACCGACATGCATGTCATGCAAATCGTGAGGCATGTGACATGGCCAAAGTGAGAAGAGATTGTACCATGTATTAGACTACCGATGACTACCTTCGCCGCGTTCTCATTAGATCCACCAATTCACACGAACGTACAAAATTATTCAAAGTTTCCACTGATGCGACAGTCTGCCCCAACATACGAAACGTTACTCCTTCTTAGCCTTCTTCATCATTGGTCCTTGGTTGGCAGAGCCCACACGAGGACCATTGTCACGAACCGAACCCCCCGATGCCGAGGGCGCCTCCTTCGCCGGCGCGGATGAGGTAGCTGTTGTACTTTTTACCTCCTCTGCCAGCTCCTCGCGCCATCCCTGGAGGAAACCCCGAAGGTTCGCCTCGCCGCTGTTCACCTCGTTGACATGAACGCTCGGAAGCATCACGTCCGGTACGGTCGCTGTAGTAGCTGTCCTGCCTGCGTCGACATTGGAGCAACTCCCAGCAGCCTCTGGGCAGCGACGTGGGTCGAGAAGTGTTCCCGGTCCTTTCAGAGGCGACTCCGCAGCTCCTCCCTCGTCGGCCACTGCCTTGTCCGGTTCTTCCACCATCTCATCTAGCGCCTGGAGTAGTAGACCATCGACCTCTTTCTGACCGTCTGTATTGTTGGCTCCTACTACTTCCTTTGTGCCTTCTTCCATAATATCTCGCCGGGATTTCTCTTCACATATACCGCCCATCTCATTGCTCGTACCAACATCTTCATCCTTATCATCTGTGTTGTCCCCTTCCATGGTCTTTTTGCCCATCGCCTCATCGAAGCTCTGGTCTCCATCCTCGTCGTCATCTTGTCTCTTTCTCTTTACACCTAGATCGCCACCAGTTTCGACAGTGTCAATTGGGTCGTCTTCGCCAAGATCAATGTTGAGATCATCTTCCGGCAACACAAGGTTCTGGTAGGGTGCTGGGGTTTTGACAAGAAAGGTGGTATGGTCCCATGTTGTTGCCGAGGAGCTCGACGCCTCCGGTATGTTGAATTGGATCAGCGGGTCCGCCATGGGGTAGAGAAGTGACCCAGACAAATCCAAATATCCGCCTTTGGGCATGGAACGGTTGAGCGGCAGCAGTTGTGGGCCCGCTGGGAGATCGGAAGACGTCGCGACTGGTGGTATGGGGTGAGATGCGGTAGTAGCAGGCGCAGGTTGCGGGCTCGGACTCGGTGTCAGTGGTTTGTAGCGCCCTGTGGACAGGTCAGCATGAGCAGTATTATCGAGCATTACTGATCCGGCACTTACTTCTATTGCTGCTACCCTGCGTGGGTGTCTCGTCCGCCATAGTCAGGCGTGTGTTGAGGGTTGACTGGGCGGCGTTGGATTCCAAGGTGCGGTCGGCCGGATTGCAAAGAGAGGGAAAGTGTCAAGGTCTTTGCACGCGCAGCTCAGGGGAATTTTCTGTTTATGTGTCGTGCGCAGTGCGCGTCACTTCGTATGCAGGTAGCCATGCAGCAAACGCTCACCGCGACGCGTCGAGAGAGCGCAAGTCGACATGTCATCTTCACTCTCACTTTCACCTTCACCTTCATTGCGTCGGCATCCACGCTGTATACAGCAAAGCAAATCTTGTGGAGAGCATTACTCGGGAGCATCCACAAATCTGCAGTCGCTTCTTCCTCTGCGTGCTATCAATGCGGTGAGTGGAGAAGCACGAGTGGTGACCAAGTTGGGGTTAGCGTAAGATCGGTACCCGCTAGCGCGCGGGAAGGGGAGAGATTCACGTGGGTGTCTCTGGGACATGAGAAATTAGCTCATGTGCTGCATTGACGACGTGATTGAGGGGAGGTTTTCGTTCGGCTTCGTGATGAAGCTTCCCTGGTTCGGCTGAAGTGGACGTAGTCCAGTGTGCGCCATTGCGCCCCATCAGGTTGTAGAAGCTGTCAAGTCGATCGGGATGCGGGTATGTCTGCACAACAAATGCCTCAACACAGCGCATCATGATATAGTGGCTTCTTCTGAAAGCTGCAACTGCGATCTCGGATTGAGGTCGCCTTCCAATGGTTCAACGCATGAGTGGTCTCATGGAGGCGCGTGAGTGGTACCTGAGAGCATCAGAAAGGACGAATCAGGCCCAACGTCAGCATAATGATAACGGCAACTAGCCTGGTAGGGATTGCAAAGATACTGAGTTCCTGCAGTATGCAGTACCTGATGATAGTCGGTCCGGAATGTGATGCAGCTGAAAGCAACGACGTCTGGAAGGAGGAAGCGAAGCACATCTGCTACCACCGATGTCGCCACTACTGTGTGTAAATCGTGGCGCCACCCTAAGCTTGCGTGGACGTCGCACGATCGCAGGTAACGGGCGAAGACCTCCGTAGAAATATGGCAGTGACGTCGCATACTGTCTCATGCATCTAGCATCTTCGCGATCGGTGTTTGGCAGCCCTTTCGTGGTGACGAGAACAAGTGGATTTCCTCGGAAGGATTGTCATGGACGGTTAGGCAGATGTGGATAAGTTCGCGAACGAAGATGTAAACAGCGGCCACTCGGGTGGTGGTCGCAGCGCTCCACTCGTTGACCAGCTCATGACAGTTTAAGGCCGCTCAGGTTGCCATCATATGCATGTTCAGGCGGGCATAGAATGGTGTCAGAGGGAGGAAAGGGGAAAGCAAGGGGAGCAAATAGAAGCAGATTAAAGCACACAGGGAAGACACGAAAGGGTGGAAATGAAGACAAAGAAAAGCCAGAGTGTGTGAAAGGCACGACAGAGAGCAAGGGAAGAGCAAGAAGAGGTTAGATATAGTGTCTGGCGTTCAGTGCACAACGAGAGTGCGCACGCCGGACAGGCCGCTCGAGAAGAGACAGCCGATCTCAAGATGCTGTTTTTCTGGTTTCGTTTGAAGCGATGTACAGCTGCTGTGAGTTCTAGTGCACTATCGCACTATCCGGCGGGTCCGTTTCAAGCACCAACAGCATGGTGAAGTATCTACACGGGACATGTCGTATCACATCAAATTTTCCCAGGAACACCCCTCCCTGCTTACCATTGCAACCTAGATCTTCCTAAACATGGCAAGATACACTGTACCTTTGGCGATGCCGTACTGACAAACGCCTGCACTATTCCGCCACCAGGATTCAGGATTATGCCTATGCATTGCGATATTGCCCGGAGTCGCAAAGGCGCGATGCCCGATCATGTATGTGCCAAAGTGACTTTGTCCGGTGGTTGACGGCTCTTCCGCTCGGTTCTTCAGAGCCCAGATCTAAATCGCTTCGTGGCCAGTCCATTATAAGACCCATGTGGTATGGCGGCAGAATATCTTGTCAGACGAGCAGCGGGACGAGTTGCCCATGCCACAATGGACGAAAACACGTGCTCCCATAAGGATGCCAGCCGTCAAGGCTCGTGTCTGCAACTAGGCCGTTGCTCAAAGTGGTGCCGGCCTGCGCCGCTTTGTTGTTCTTCAACCACGTTGTTCGTATCCCGGTTACGACTCCCTCTTGCTTCCTCCACCAGTGCTTCTTAATACGCTCTGGGTATCATTGGACCAGACCCTGTCGAGTCGTATACGGTGTGGATGGGAGTGAATGGTATGTGACGCGTTGTGTAGGGAGGCCGATAGCGGGATAGTTTCGTGGGGGTGAGGCTCTGCACCGTACCTGTAGTTAGCGGAATGTATACAAATCTTCGATCCTGTTCGTACGAAGCTCACATTGACTTCCATCGTTAGAACCGATGGGCGGCGTCAAAGCTTGTAGGTCGCAGGCCCTGACTGCCGAAGTGCGAACCCTGGGGTGAGCACATGTGCTAGGCGCGGGGCGAGGCGCGAATGCGCATGCATTGTTACCACGCGCGCAAAAATTGCAGTGGTAGCATCGTTAATACATCGTGTTTGTTGGGTGCACACTGCGTAAGCCCTGCCCGGGTAAGTTGTTCAGCGCGGGCACAAGCTCGACGGGGGACCTGCCCTCGTGATCTTTTGTGGGGTGCATGACGCTATGCCTGTCATGGACTAGACCACGAGGCAGTCAGCGCCCCACTGGGCACCGAAAGTTAGAAGAAAGCGCCTAACTAAGTTAACAATGCGAAGCTCAAAGAAATGGTCAAAGCCAGGCATATTCGCACGACGTTGACCATTTGGTGGAATTGGGTGATGTTGCGACACCCCAGCAGGGATGTTTCCTCCTCAGCCGAGTTGGCCCCGTCGCTTCTTGTGCCAAGCGCAGCATCGTCGTCGAACATATAGCGTTGGCTTTTACTGGTCAGGCTTGGTAGGGCTTCTTTATGGAGTCTTCACCATCTCGACAAGCCTGGTCTTGTCGTTGGAAGTTGGCACTCGGACAGCCAGCGGAGGAGAACGTACGACTGCGTGGTGGGCTGCTATATGATGGCTCTGGAGTGATGCGATCTTGTTCAATACGTCACTCTCCCAGTGGACATACCCCAAAGCATACGGCATAGTGAAGGTCAGCTGTCTGACTTTGTCACATCAGAGGCGTGCGCATCATATCGATCGGCTTCGCGTCTAGTCGACCTTGGACGGAAGTCGCGTTAGCATCGCAGCCATCAAGACAGACGAGGCGTGCGTGGGTTGGCTCATGCAGAGGATTGGTGCCCAGGTGGGGAGCGGCATGAAGTATGAGGGCTCGCGTTGGCTCCGCGTCTCGAGTAAAGCATCTTGCCGTCTGCGTGATTTGGCCATGATAACGGCAGAGGCGGTATGGCTCGAAACGCGTCGGTGATGGCCACGGGCTGAGTTTCCGTATGAAGTCGGAGCTGCGCGGCACCGACGCGTCGTTACGTAATCACTCCGTCACCACGTAAGCAGCCGCCTATGGCTGCCAGTGACCAACACCATCATCGACCATCACACTTCGCGTCGCATCACAAGCACGTCTTTCGTTGGAATCTACTTGCGATGGCTCAGGCCCGGAATCCCTGACACTCTCCTCCCTTGATAGGATCGCAGCCCAGAGCAGGCTATCTAGGTATCTCTGAGCCGTTGTCAAGAACATTCCTCGAAATGCTAGTGATGATTTAATTATCTTGAGGTTGCACTTGATACACTACCCTCCAGTCAAAGCAATGCACATGTTCAGGGTCGTCGAGCCGTTCCAATGGATTAGCAATCTTGGCGGGACTGACGTGGTCATGCAATCTAGCTGTGTAGCTCAGGACCCAATTCCGTCAAGCTAAATCGAAGCGACATCGTGCACTTAGCGGCTCTAATAATTTCGATGAATGAACAGCAATTGCTGTAGGGTAGTTATTTCAATACAATGCCCATGGGGTCGTTCCCACTCGCCTTGCTAGCCTCCTCCTTTGCCAACCATGATTCACACTGTTCGTAAGTTTCGAATTCATTATGCGAGCGTTCTGTGTCGTAAGGTACACAACGATTGCATTGGACCAGGTATAGCATTGACGGTTTCTTCCTCTTTCGTTCACTCAACGAGTTGTCAACCACGAGATCCACACAACACACACAACATACAATGGACACAGCAAGTTGCCCACTCGAGAGCGGCTCCACCGAGATCGAGCATCCTACTGACCGCGTTGCCGCTCTGGAAAAGCTAACCTTAGAGCTTCAGACCACCATTGCGTCTCTGACAACTGAGGTCCAGACACTCCAGGCCGAGAATCGCCGTCAGCACAAGTTGAGACTAGACGCAAAACAATGGTGCTGCCAGACCTACGATCAGTGGATGGAATCTCTGAAGGAGCTTACTGGCATAGAATCCGAAGCTAAGAAAGACAAGTCTGTGCTCCGAGAGAAGATACTCGAGCTTAAGGCCAAAAATGCTTATCTCACGACTGAGATCCAGACGCTTCAGGCCGAGAATCGCCCTCAGACCGAGTTGAAAATAGACGGAGCACAATGGTGCTGCCGGACCTACGATGAGTGGATAGAATCTTTGAAGGATCTTGATGCCGTGGAATCCGAAGCTGAGGAAGACAAGTCGGTGCTCCAAGAGAAGATATCCCAGCTTGAAGCCAAAAATGCTTCTCTCGCGAGTGAAATCCAGACACTCACGGCTAGTCTTCGCGATATTTGCGGACAGAACTCTTTGTGCACACAAGTTGCAAAGGAACTCGATGATCAGGTTATGCAGCTTGCACGCGCAGAAGCCGAAGCTCAGCAAGAATTGTCGGCGCTTCGACTCAGAATATCCGAACTCGAGCAAGTCATCTCAAAGCACGACAAAGACAACACTCCATCCGCGGAGCAGGAAGAAAGTGTTAAGAAGTAAGCAGATGGAACAAAAGCCTGTCGTGAAGTCAGGGCAAATCCACAAGATTTAGGACGCATCCACAGTCACACTGATGGCAA